ATGATGTGTTCTACATACAAGTTGAATAGGTCGGGGAAGAGTGTACAGTCCTGCCATAGTCCTTTCCCACTCTGGAACCAGTCTGTTGTTCTGTGGTCTGTTCTTACAGTTTCTACTTGATCATTATACAGATTCCTCAGGAGTCAGACAAGGTGGCTTGGTATCCCCATTCTACCAAGAACTTACCACAATTTATTATGATCTATACCAGGAGTCCTTGAACTTTTTAAACAGAGGGCCAGGTCACAGTCTCTCAAACTGTTGGAGGGCCGGATTATAATTTGAAAAAAACATGAATGAATTCCTATGCACACTGCACATATCTTATTTGTAGTGCAAGAACACTTTAAAACAATAAAATAATTAAAATGAAGAACAATTTTAACAAATATAAACTTATTAGTATTTCAATGGGAAGTGTGGACCTGCTTTTGGCTGATGAGATAGGTTTGTTGTTGTTGTTTTTGTGTGCTTTCAAGTCATTTCAGACTTAGGTTAGCCCTGAGTGAGGGCCGGGTAAATTACCTTGGAGGGCCATATCTGGCCCCTGGGCCTTAGTTTGAGGACCCCTGATCTACACAGTAAATTTATTATGATCCACACCATTACATGAAGAAAGTGTAACTGTGGATGGAAGTGCTGGATGACTCTTTATATAATGACCATAAAAGAATTTACCCAAACAGGATCTCAGCTTTTCCTCCCTTTATGGTGTTCCAAGGGTTAAAATAATACTATACAAGACATTGGTTTCTATGTATAATTGGGAAGACTGAATCAGCAACCTTTCAAGTTTTTAATATATATCTCCAGAATCCAGAGCTACTTCTGTTCAATATGGCCCATTGCCACTTTATAGACTCAAAGGAGAAAACAAATTTCTCTTATGGTTAGCCACAGATTCTTCCAAATAAGATTGGGATTTAATCCTATATATAAAGTAGCTGAGTGTACTGAAAAGGTAGAAAGCTGTTTGGATGGTTATACTCTGCATGGCTCCAGTGTCAGTGGGGCAACAGAATCTACCCCAGGTTTCCGTTCAGTCTTTAAGATACTACCAAAGGAGCTAAACTTTATTCTAACAAAGATTCAGTATTTTTTGTTAAAGTTTAGGCTAAGGACCTGTCTATACCACCAGTTTGTATTAATTAGCCCCATTTTCAAAGACTACTAGCTTGACATCTAACACAGAGACTGACATAACCTTTTTAACAGAACTGAAACTTAATGAGCCGTTTTTTTGTCGTGTCAGGAGTGACTGCAAGTTGCTTCTGTTGTGAGAGAATTGGCCGTCTGCAAGGACGTTGCCCAGGGGATGCTTGGATGATTTGATGTTTTTATCATCCTTGTGGGAGGCTTCTCTCATGTCCCCACATGAGGAGCTGGAGCTGATAGAGGGAGCTCATCCACCTCTCCCCGGATTTGAACCTGCGACCTGTCGGTCTTCAGTCCTGCCGGCACAGGGGGTTAACCCACTGTGCCACCGAGGGCTCCAGTAATGAGCCGTTAAAAAAATATTTACTAATTTTATTTAAAGCTTCTTAAAATGTGTCACATTGTCAAAATGTACAAACATGTTTCAAATAAAATGACAAATGCTGTGAATCCAAAAAATCATGAACTTTGGATTTTTTAAAATATGTTTTATTGTGAATTTTTAGGTACCTAAAAATGAACTTTGGATTGGGTCATAAAAATTCAGTAAATTATTGGGCTGCTTTCAGCCTGTGGGGTTTATGTACATCAAGCTGTGTTGGAATGTTGCCTTTCTTTGTGTGTGCATAATACACAGAATGATACATTTTGCATGCATATTATTGTAATGTTCATGAACATGTTTCCTCACATGAACAAACCAAAGTTCTTCTGTCATAGTAAATGAATTGCAAAAATAAGCAAAGTGGAAGGAATGCTATATACGCATGACCTTTATTTATAATTTTATATACAACTCCACCGCATCACAGTGAACACATCCATTGTTTGATTTTGGAAGTTAAGCTCTGGAAGGAAACAATAGGGTCTAAAGGGGGAATTCTTCCTGAAACCCATGAGAATGCAATCAGAGTGAACAGTGACTGGTCTTGTAAAACCCTCTTGTAATGCCAAAGTTTATTAATTATGGTTTTCTGTGGGCTAGCAGATGGCGACTGCTGGATGGCATATGTTCTCTATCAGAATCTAGAGCTGATGTGGTCTATCCAATGCAATTTTCTGAATCAGCACTCCAAATAACCAAACCAAATCTAAAGTTGACCAAAAATTTATTTGTAACCCTTTTGGTACTAATGTTGGAGAGTGGTCCCTGGTCAAGTGGTCCCTGATAAAAAAAAAGATTGGGAACCACTGGGCTAGATGGAGCAATGGTCCTACTAGATATAAGGGAAAGTCCTTTCCCGCCTACAGCAAGGAGATTTTGGCTTTATGTGACCTAGTTGTGTGTGCATTTTATTACTAGCTCTGCATGCTCTGCCATCCATATCTAGGTGCAAAAGAGTGGTTCAGGAGGTGAAGCCAATACGTGATTCAATTCCATTAATCACGTATCTACTTTGTGATCTACTTTCTGCCTGCACTTGCTGTTGTAAAAACTTCCTCCAGAAATTCTCAACATACCCTATGAATTTCTTAGGTAAGAAGCAGGAGTGGTTTTGTCAACTCCTTCCTATGCAATATAGTCTAAAGCAGGTGGAATTCATTGGTAGCCTCCCATCCAAGTACTAGCCAAGGCCAGTCTATCATAGGGAATGCAAAATACGTGCCTAAAGAAGAAACCAGTTCCTGGCAAAGACACAATTGGGGATGATTTTCATCTTGAAATATAGATGCTGCTGCAACTGTTGAAGTCTCTTGCTTGTTTGAGTGTTCGCTAATAGACAGGGATAATATTTCCTCAGGAAGAGCTATAGCTGGAGATGATCCAGTAATGTATCTGAAAAAATAGTCTTAAATTTGGTTAGAGTGAGAGAAGCATGATTTGTAACTGTTCATTAATGATGAGAAATCTTTGGATTGTTTTTGTTGTAGTTGTGATATCGACTTTTCGATATTACTTGCTCGCAAGCGAAAGTGTAGTTAGAGAAAATCTTCCATAATTTCCCAAATTCCTACCATTACATCAAGATAATTGTTTGCACTTAAAACACTTACATTTGATTTGCTTGTATTCCCCGTGTAACTGTGCCTGCCACTTTGGTTTAGATGACTGAAATTCATTTTTAAAATGCTCAACTGAAATGTTGAATTACTACAATGTTGAAAATTTGGGAAATGAAATAACATTTCTTACTTATTTCACCCACACCCCTATTAGTAAACCCCCAACTTCCAGGAAGCCCTACATCAAGTTTCTCCAACTTAGTGTTCTTTATATCTGCTGGAGTAGATTTCCCATCATCCTAGTCAGCATCGGATGAAATTAAGATGTCTCCAAGGAGGAAAAAGAGGCATTTCTGGGGCTTTTCATAAGGAAAATGACCATGTTTTATTTGTAAAGCTACTGCTTCATATGACATATGAGTTGATTTAGTTCTAAAATGAGGAGCGTTCAGAAAATATATAACAAGATTAATTTCATCTCAATTATTTCTTTATATTGTGTGTCACCTTAACAAAAAAATTGCACAGTCAACTCTAGCATTATGAGCATTCATAAATAAATTATATCTCAAAAATTAATGATATATGTGCATGAATGATGGCTGTGGAGCATATGGAAATAAATGCAGGGAAAGTTACTAAGCAGAGATTTTGCTGCTGTCTAATTCTATTGGGACTTATACCATTATTATCTTGCACAGTGCCATCACAGAACATTTTTCCAAGTTTACTCTCTGGAATAGATATGCCAATATATCCTATTGCTGTTCTCATAATCTCCAACCTCTTAGGGAACTATAGTCCCAAACGTTCGGAGAATGTCAACTTGGGGAACGCAACATTATTTGAACATCATCAGTCACCAAGACAGAAAAATGAACACCACATATTGTGGCTAGCCATCCCAAGTCAACCAACAATTAATTTATGGACCAATTTTACTTCGAAGCCTAAACACATTTCCAGTAGTATCTCTTGATAAAATTTGGGAGTGGGAAACAAACATGTGATCTCTGAAACTATCTTTCATTAGTTCTTCTCTGTATTATCTTCTTTTCTTTAGTTTATTCCTCTTGAGCTGATCAGACATTTCCCTCTTCAAAATGTTAAAGAACTGCATCTTTTCCCATCTATGTCAGTTTTAATTAAAGATAGAAAGGTAACTAACTTGTCCAAGTGAAACTGTAGAGACCAGCCCTCTCTGATACTTTTGACTGGCTTATCACAGCTTCCTGGAAACTCCTCAGGAGTTATTCAAGCAGGATGTAGATGCAGCTACAAGAGAGCAACGGATTGTTCTAGGTTATACTTATGGGCCATGTAGGATGAGTTGGGAATCCATTGTGGAATGTGGGAAATGTCCTCTTGAGGTGCTTGAGAGTAAAAAAATTGAAAACTAGGGGTTGAATGCAGTCTTCCTTTACCTGGCATTCTTTAGATGTGTTGGACCTGGTATCCCCCATTCCTCTTACTGGCTGAGGATAATGGGTGTTGAAATCCAACCTATCTGGAGCATGCTATGTTGCCGGAAGAGTGACTTAGAACCTCATCACATTAGACAAATATTGTGGGTTGATTTGGGTTGATCCAGACCTTGCCATTAGTGTTCGATGTTAGTCAATGTTTAAATAAAATGGAGAATTAATTTTCTGCCATCACATTTGTTCTTCTTATCTGGATTCACCTGCTTCATTGGCCATCACATGCATCGGTGGAGTCCCTGTCCATCCCACTTCCCTAACCCTTTTTTCCCTTAAGAGACCCACCCACTGCATGAAAACATGAGTATGAAACTTCTGCAGGGCAAAGATCTAAGGATGACATCACGCCGGTGCCTGGTGTTTGGACCGCCTCACTACTGAAACAGGGGTCTACACAGTTATTACTTAATCAAGATGATATCATAATGCAAATCATTTCTTTTAATAAGGGAGGAGGTGGACTTACCTTTGACTGCATGGACTGACAGTAATGATAGACCAAAGGGAGTAATGGTGGCGAGAGAAGATTTATGGTTAACAGTTGGAACCACCCATTTTTTGCCTGCTAATTGACATAATAAAATGGTTTGGCATGGCGAAAATGACCAGTTGACATTACATGGGAAAATCTATGATTTTCCCACATCTAGACATGTACAGATAGCTGGAGCTGGTAGATTGCCAGCTCCAAATAACATATGTTTTTTTGAATGAAAGCACTAAGGTCCATCAGGTGACCACTGGAAGTAGGCTTGCGTCATGTGATAGCAACCAAGGGACTTCAATTTAACAGTGTCTAGAAATGGGAAATTTGTCTGATCTAATGTGATGAGGTCCTTAATGTATTGTGAGGAGCCAAAGAAGAAAATATTGATCTTCAGCTCAAGGATAAAAACTAAATTCTGTAAAAGATGGGCCCTCCACTTATTGATGAATTCCTACTTTCATGGTACCTCACAGCCTGACTATGACTGATGGGAACTGGAATGGGGAGCCACTGTTTTTCCAGCAATGTGGTATAACTGCCGCACATGGTTGATTTGAACATACAATTGAAAAAAAGTGTGAGGGCAGAGGTTTAAGCTGAAGGGATCAAATAAAATCAAATTATGTGTCTGCTATCAATGGCTGAAGGAATAATCCTCCAGTTCCAAATACACAGAGAATGATGAAAACCCACAGGAACACTCTGTCAATCACCATGGCGACATATTTCCAGTCATCTTCTACCTGCAATACACAAGAAGAGAGATACATTTCCATGCAGTAGCAGTACAATAGGTCCAATTGTTTGCCAATAGTATGGGGAACAGGGTAAAAATTCTATAAATAAATAAAGCAAAATCATATTAAGAGGACATGTCCACTATAGACATATATATCGGGATGATCTATATGGAACTGGGACTCTGGAATAATAATAATAATAATAATAATAATAATAATAATAACAACAACAAATTAGCCATCTATCCCAGTGGCTTGAGGCAGGGTACAACATAGTTAAAACATGTTCTAGAGGCATTTTGTCTTGACGTTTCGCCTGCATCTATGGCAAGCATCCTCAAGGTTTGTGAGGTCAGACCTCACAACCTCTGAGGATGCTTGCCATAGATGCGGGCGAAACGTCAGGACAGAATGCCTCTAGACATAGCCATATAGCCCAAAAAACCCTACAACAACCCAGTGATTCCGGCCATGAAAGCCTTCGACAATACACGGTTAAAACAGATAGACAGATACAATACCATTTTTTTTGTTATGTCAGAAGTGACTTGAGAAACTGCAAGTCGCTTCTGGTGTGGGAGAATTGACCGTCTGCAAGGACGTTGCCCAGGAGATGCCTGGATGATTTGATGTTTTTATCATCCTTTTGGGAGGCTTCTCTCATGTCCCTGCATGAGGAGCTGGAGCTGATAGAGGGAGCTCATCCACCTCATTAAATGCATATATTAAAATACACACAACAAAGACCAATACCAATAACATGTGGGTTAAAATGTACAGTTTAATATTGACTGGGTAGAGCATGTATTTTGTGTGTGCGTGTTTCATATTTTTATGATAAGAACAGATACTACACTTTATCTTATACAAAAGGCCGAGAAACCACCACCTGAGAGATCTGTTTATCTCACAAAAATGTGGTTCCTTGTCATGGTGATTAATTTATCTAAATTCTCTGACTGGCTTTTTTACACTCATCACTCTACTTCCCCTTCTTTTGTCTTGTAGTTAAATCCAATTTTACCAAATTTAATTAAGTTTTAGTGTGTTTTCATTTATTTTAGTTAACTATTACAGGAGTTTAAGCATAGTGATTAGTGTTTATTTGTCTGTATATTTTTGTTTTTGCCTTTGTCTTTTACTGTTGATATGGTTAATGGACTAATCAATAAACAGATCTAGCTATCATGTTTTGTTTAGGCAAGAAATATGAGAAGGCTTTGCTAGCCCTTTCTTCCAAAATATAGCCTACAGCAGCTGCTATTCCCATACAAATACTAATCCCAGCCTAGCTTCTAAGAGCAGACAGAAACTAGTACTTTTAGCATACTGGCAGCCTCCAAGTTATGAACAGGTTAAGTTATGCAGGTTTGTTCTTTAGCTGAATTTATATGTAAGTCAGAATAGGTATATCTATCTATCTATCTATCTATCTATCTATCTATCTATCTATCTATCTATCTATCTATCATCTATCTACCTATGTTTGGATAGCATAGAGAAGGTGTTTGTTTTGCTGTCTGTGGCCCTGTTCAGAAGATTTTGCATCTCACTTTTGGTCCTTGTGATAATTGGATTTTGAAAATTGTGGTTTGTTGTGGAAATAGGGGTTGGTGGGAAAACTTCAGTGGAGACACCTTTCCCCCATAAAAACAACTCTTAACCGCTTTGAGTCCCCCTTAGGGTGAGAAAAGCGGTATACAAATAATGTAAATAATAAATTAATGATTTTAGTAAGGAGACGCTGAGGATTTAGGTTTTTATTGGTTTAATATAGTTTTATATTTTATATGCTAATGTTTTTAATTGTATTTTATGTTGTTGGGGGCATCGAATTGTGCCCACTGTAAGCCACCTTGAATTGCCTTCGGGCTGAGAAAGGTGGTGTGTAAATACGGTAAATAATTAAATAATTAATTAAATAAATAGATCCAGATGTGAATTTTCCTTCCTAAGGGTAGATTTCTCTCACTTCCTGTTGTCTCACCCCTGGTCCATGTGAGTTGCTTGTAAGTTCGATGTTTGTAACTTGGGGACTGCCTGTATTCAGGCTCATTGCTCAATGGTTGAGTGAGGGTTTGAGCCTAGTCTTTCCAAGTCCTAGTTCAACACTCAAGCTATTACGCCATGCTACATCATTTACAAGGAAAAAAATGTTCAAAAGGCTTGCCACAGCCTTCCTCTGAGGCTGAGTGTGACTTGCTCAAGGTTACCCCGTGGGTTTCTATGGCTGCGTGGGGAATCAAACCCCCATTTCCTAGAACCTTAGTCCAAAATTTAAACCACTAAACCACACTGGTTCCCTAACATATTTATGGTAGCATCATCCAGTGACTGAGAATGGCTGGTACTTAAACTCTACAGGGTTTATTCATGTTCATCTTTAAAGCTGGCAATTGGCGATATAAAGGAAACAAATCCATGGTCCATGTTTGTCCAAATAGGTCTCCGGATGCTGACCCATGTCTTAAAATGTCTGCTAGAGATCTATCAGAATTCTTTTTGTCTATGAATTAAAGATAGCTCCAATTCTTCCAACAGTGCCATGACAGTGCCACCCCCCCCCCCCGATACATTATAGTAAGGATAGTGATATTTTCAGTTTTCAACTTAATGAGAAAACAATAATTGCAGTGGGTTGTTGTAGGTTTTTCCGGGCTATATGGCCATGTTCTGGAGGCAATTTTCCTCCTGACGTTTCGCCTGCATCTATGGCAAGCATCCTCAGAGGTAGTGAGGTCTCTACCTCTGAGGATGCTTGCCATAGATGCAGGCGAAACGTCAGGAGGAAAATTGCCTCCAGAACATGGCCATATAGCCCGGAAAAACCTACAACAACCCAGTGATTCTGGCCATGAAAGCCTTCGACAATACATTGAATCATTGCAGTGATTTGTTGTTATTTAAATAGCTTTTTGCACAGAGCAGAATAGATACCAGCCCTGCATTAAGATGAGTTCCAGTAATTCCACTACTAAAGACCTTGGTCCTGTTGGGCTCTTGCATTACAGTTTGCTATTTTGAAACATAGCGGTTAAGCCAGGCTTGGCTGTAAAGCAGCACTTTCAACTATCTGTTGTGATAGTGCCTACCTTGCTGCATGCATCATCATAGTTCTACAGAAGTCAATAGAGCTTCATTGATTGAGCGCCATCTTGAGATGACAATCTTAGTCCCCACAGGCTTCCTAAGAGTGTCTTAGTGCCTAAGCTAAAGCTTCCTCCTTGCCTAAGCATGAAATATTCATCTATTTAAATAATCAAAACCATTAGCACAATTGCTGAGTATCATTTTAAAAACCATTGTTTCCCATTGTTTACTTCTAAATATAGTCCTGTAAAACACTGTTCTTTGATGGGGAAAGTGCTCATCAACTGATACAAATGGTTATGAAGAAGGTTTGCAATTGTTATTCTCCATTATATGTGGCCATCTTGATTCTCATCTTTCTCATTTTGCTGCCAGGCAATGCCAGCATTAAGGATCAACACTACTAGGCACCTGCTGAGAACAACCATGCATCAGAAAAGGGTCCACTGCAAATACAGGAACGGGCCCACTATAAATACTCCAGTTGCTGTAAACGGAGTTCAAAAATGGTAAAAGTGGGGGAAGGAAGAAATGGTTAGAGTTGAGCATCCCCTACCTGAAATGCTTATAATATTTTTTTGTATTTTTTCTGGTTTTGAAATACTAGTATTTCCATATATGTACACAATGAGACTCAAGTCACTTGTCTCCTCTACACATAAATTTTGTATAAAATTTGTGCACAGTGAAGCATTAGAAAGCAAAAATAGGATGTGGAGGATGTGGAAATATTCAAAAGTTAGGGTGTTGGGTTGCATATTTTGAGATCTGGAAATCCAAAACTCCTAATCTTCCAGATCTCAAAAAATTCAACCCATCATTCTAACCATTTTGCCACACTGGCTCACCCATCATACCTCCCAATATTTCCATATCTTCCAACTCTCTTGACCCCCAAGTTATCCTATGGACAGAGGCGGCCCTAGGTAATTTTCAACGGTAAGCAAACAGTATATTGGCGCCCCCCTCCCCAACCAATCATTGATATATATTTTCTGTTCGTCATGGGAGTTCTGTGTGCCATATTTGGTTCAATTCCATAATTGGTGGAGTTCAGAATACTCTTTGATTGTAGGTGAACTATACATCCCAGTAACTACAACTTGCATATGTCAAGGTCTATTTTCCCCCAAGAGGGCCTCAAGAGTGCAAAATAAACTATACTGAAAATGCTTACTTTGTGTAATGGGTTGAGCTGCCCCTGCCTATGGAGCACTGGTTCTCAGCCTGTGGGTCTCCAGATGTTTTGGCCTTCAACACCCAGAAATCTTAACAGCTGGTAAACTGGCTGGGATATCTGGGAGTTGTAGGCCAAAAACACCCACAGGTTGAGAACCACTGCTTTGGAGTCTCATTTTCTAAGGCCCCTTCCACACAGCTGAATATAATCCCTCATTATCTGGTTTGAACTGGGATATATGACAGTGTGGATTCAGATATTCCAATTCAGATATTGTGGGTTATTGTGGTATCCAAGAAATAACAGCTTAGGAAATTAACATTATCAAAATGGTGGACACAACCCAAGTTTTGCAGGAAGGCGTCATTTTCAGTATAGCATTGACAATGCTGGCAAGGGGATTTGGGAGTTGTTATTTAGACAGGAAAATTCCCCATGTTCTGACAACTTCTAGAATAACCCAAAAGGTCAGAGAATCCAAAGTCAGAGCAAGCAGAGGAAAATGGAACAACTCCTGAAAAACTTGTCACCCTAATCAATTTCCTTCTACAACTGAAAAGCTGTATGAATAAATCACTGCAGAACTGCTCACATAAATTCACAGTCTTTCTCTCTGAGGTGCAGCCGACTGCTCTTCAGGCAGCAGTATTTGCATTATTTACATTGCGACAGCTAATTAAGAATACCGCTGAGATTGAACCCCAACTGTCTCAGATTCTATATAAACTTCAAAGAAACCTAAAACATAAATTGTTTCTAGTTTAAAAACACACGACCACTGGAAGATGGTGACACAGTGCCTGCAAAAGGTCTCAGAGGCATCTCCAGTGCGGAGAAAATTTAGGCATCTCTAGTGGGAAGAAAAAGCCTAAATCCAGTTGCTATAGTTAATCTATTGAATCAATGGTGTTTACTTAACTGTTGATTCAGTTGGTCTATGATAACTGGAACTAGCAATTGGATTTCGGCTGGAATGGTTCAATTGCTGCAATGTCACCAGGGCTCTAACTGGCTAGAACAATGATTCTTAATCTGTAGGCCACAGACCACCAGTGTGGGTCACGAGGACCAAAATCTGGTCTGCAAGCCTCCTTCCTCTTTATTTATTTTATTATAATCATTTTATTTCCACTCCTTTTGCATGGCCTGCCACTCCTTCCCTGTCGCTGACCAGGCCCAACCCCTTGGATCGGCAACATCAGCTCTAGATTATTAAATATGGTTTTCTGTGGGCGAGCAGATGGCAACTACTGGATGGCATATGTTCTGTATCAGAAACTAGAGCTGATGTGGTCTATTCAATGCAGATTTCTGAATCAGCACCCCAAATAACCAAACCAAATATAAAGTTGACCAAAAACTGATTCATAGCCCTTTTGGTACTAATGTTGGAGAGTGGTCCCTGGTCAAAGTGGTCCCTGGTCTAATAGTTCAAAAAAAAAGATTGGGAACCACTGGGCTAGAGGCTCAGTGCTGTAGGAAGAAGACACAATTTGGCTCCCCTTTTTCTCATGTCATTTCTTGGATCTCCTGTTATTGTCAGTATTTCATGTGTCATTTGGGTAACTAAGGGCCCTTCCACACAGCCATATAATCCAGAATATCAAGGCACATAATCCACAACTGAATTATCTGAGTTCACACTGCCATATAATCCAGTTCAATATGGATTTTATACAGCTGTGGAAGGGGCCTATGTGAAAAGCATGGGATGAAATTATTAGTCTAACACAGTGGTTCTCAACCTGGGGTCCCCAGATGTTTTTGGGCTTCAGCTCCCAGAAATCCTATCAGCTGGTAAACTGGCTGGGATTTCTGGGAGTTGTAGGCCAAAAACATCTGGAGACTCCAAGTTGAGAACCACTGGTCTCACAGATGTTGCAGCACTGTTCTCTATTGCACTTTATTTATTTATTTGCAATATTTATAGCCTGCCTTTGTCAACGATACAGCGACTCAAGGCGGGTTACAGGTTGGTACAATTCAATGCCATGCATTCGTAAAGTGCAGTTAAAACAATCAACATAACAATATAAAACATATAGGAAAACAATTAAAACATATGATATCGGTGTCATCCTGTCAAAACATCTTCTAATCACATCGTCTTGCCATTTCATGTTCATCATTCATAGTTTCATGTTATCTCTTCCACTGCAATGTCAAAAGTTTGCTCAGAGCCAAGTTTTTACCTTTTTACAGAATAGTTACCTATGTTATCATTTCTAGAATAACCAGTGGTTCTCAACCTGGGGTCCCTAGATGTTTTTGGCCTACAACTCCCAGAAATCCCAGCCAGTTTACCAGCTGTTAGGATCTCTGGGAGTTGAAGGCCAAAAACATCTGGGGACCCCAGGTAGAGAACTATTGAACTAGAAGATCTGAAATTGTTCCAGGGCCCTGACTAGCTTTTAGCTCACCAAGTTAAGGATCAATTAAACTCCACCCCTGTTCAAATTGACTGTCTAGCACTTCTTTTGGGTCTCATGCTAACTTACCTCTTTGGTCTCGTTCTGGCTCCTCATGTTTTCTGCAATGAGCTGGACACTGCTAATGACTTGCTTGACCTCTGGGGAGTAGTCCATTTGCTCGGCCACCCACTTCGCAGATTGGCTTGATCTCCTTTTCTTACTCGTAGCTGGTTCACTGAGTTTGTCGCAGTGGCAGCATCTGTGCTCACCAAAGACTTTCACTTCTCCCAAGTCGTCAGCTTTTTCCTTGCTTGATTTTGTAGCCTTTTGCTCCCCAGCCTTTTTGGGTTTCTTAGGCTGGGTTTCAACATGTTTTTGTATGGGTCTCTTCATCATCAACACTTTGGGCAGGAGACTGAGGAAAACAGTCCTGACCCACTTAGGCATAGAGTGAGTTGTCGGAGTCCTGTAGTGGATGTTCAGCACAAACACAGTGACAACGATGGAGAGTGTCACAAATATCATGGTGAACAGCAGGTATTCTCCCACCAGAGGGATAACTAGAGAAGTGGAGGGAATTGTCTCTGTGATTACCAAGAGGAAAACAGTTAAGGAAAGTAGGACAGAGATGCACAGGGTCACCTTCTCGCCACAGTCAGATGGCAGGTAAAAAACTAATACAGTCAGGAATGAAATGAACAGACAAGGGATGATCAGATTAATAGTGTAAAACATGGGCAATCTTCGGATATAAAAGGAGTAGGTTATGTCAGTATAGATCTCCTCACAGCAGTTGTACTTGATGTCGTGCTTGTAGCCAGAAGCATCAATTATTTCCCATTCACTATTCTCCCAAAAATCATTCATATCCACTTTGGAACCAATAATTAGAAGGTCAATTTTAGCTTTGTCGTAAGTCCAGGATCCAAATTTTAGTGAGCAGTTCTGATGATCAAAGGGGAAGAAGGTAATATCCATAGGGCAGGAGCTTTTGAAGATGGCAGGAGGTGTCCAAGCGATGGTGCCATCATATTTGAGAAGAGCTTTGGTCCGTCCTTCCACCTGGAAATCTCCAACGGCACTGGAAAGAGAAACACAAGGCAGACTTGATTGTCTTGCATCACACTAATACATCAGCATTTCTTTAAAAAAAATGCATTTAAACCAACACATACTTGTTGTACAGCACAATATCAGGTTTCCAAATTTTATCTGCTGGCACCCGGATAAATTCAATACCCTCATATTCTATTGGATTCCACCGCAGTTTATAGTCGTTCCAAATCTAAAAGAGAAGAAGGGAGAAATGGGTCTTAGAAATGTATCCACACCTTGATTTATACAGAAGATGCTTCTTTTGATGTGTTGTCGAAGGCTTTTATGGCTGGAATCACTGGGTTGCTGCAAGTTTTTCGGGCCGTATGGCCATGTTCCAGAAGCATTCTCTCCTGACATTTCGCCTGCATCTATGACAGGCATACTCAGAGGTTGTGATGTCATAACCTCTGAGGATGCCTGTCATAGATGCAGGCAAAATGTCAGGAGAGGATGCTTCTGGAACATGGCCATACAACCCGAAAAACTTACAGCAACCTGATACTTGTTTCCTCCCTCCAGCCTTCTATATTTGATGTGACAGGAAATGGGTTTAAACCTGGAACATTTTTTGTACTAGAAGTCCCAGATTCCTCAGTCAGCATGACAGTGATGGTTGTTAGGTTATAAGAGCCCTTTTAGTCTAACAAAGTGATTCTTCCAAATTTGTTTCTTGGGTAGGAAAACTTGCTTTCCTGACATTGTCTTTGATATTGAGAGAACTAGGCAAATTTCAATGATATAGCAAGTGTTTTTCTTTTTTGTTTTAAAACAGTGCTGAACGCTGTTAGTTTCGTTCTGAATGAAAATCAGCCTTGAAAGACCCCAACCAGATCAGGGGCACAGTACACAGATGCTGTTTTTGCGATGAAAGTAATTTATTTGCCTGTGAAGGAATTATTTATAATGCGTTTAACAATTATAATAATTTAGCATGACAAAGTAACATGTTATATTGCTTTGTCATTCTAAAGAAGAAGTGGGGAGACTCTGAGTTAGTAGCTGAATCCAGCTCTTCTGGGGTTCAAATCCCTGCTTTGTGATGAAAACCCACAACATCATAGTCCATCTTTTGGACAGGTCCCTATCTAGCTCCAAATAGATGAGATACCCCCCCTTAAGATTTATCTGATGACAGTGAAAGTTTAGTAAAATACAGAGTATATTGGCTCAACCAATATGTGATTTTTTTTATTCTGCATATAATGATCATCTCTAGATGGACCACTGCTTCTTTTAGAACCCAATTCCTATCATAAGCACACTTTTAAAGCTCAGCAGTACTGTAAACAAGGATTCACTTTTTAGCAATGTTGTGACCTGTTTCAAACCATGAGGAGAGGTGGGCAAGAAATAATAATAATAATAATAATAATAATAATAATAATAATTCACGTACATGTCGCAACCAGAGGTTGGTTTCCATAATCTGGTTGACTTCATCCTGTGAATAAAAAAAGGCAAATGCTATAGTTGTGCACATTTATTATGAGTATGTTCCATGCTTTTCTTTGACATGCTGAGTCTTTACGTTGGAGAGTCATCAGACTGGGAGGCCGTGAGGGTTTGGAAAAGGTGCTCAGAAGATATGAGGAGATGTGGACCTCCATAGACTAGAAATAATTATACTGCAGTATAAACACTACCTATATAAATAAAAATGTAATGTTTGTTTGTGGGATTAACATAACTCAAAAACGACTGGACGAATTGCCGCCAAATTTGGACACAATATACCTATCAGGCCAACAAGTGACCATCACTCATAAATACACTGAAAAACGCAGTGGAAGAGACTTAAAAAGCAAAAAACAAAAAACAAAAAAAACATTACCATGCATGCTGAAAACCACATACATACACATATACACAAATACACACACACACACACACATACAACACATATATACAAACTGGGCCACAGCAACGCATGGCAGCGGATGGATAGTACATGATATAATCTCCACAACTTGGTGGAATCAGTATTTGTGATTTCACTAAGGGCCCTTCCACACAGCCATATAACCCAGAATATCAAGGCAGAATAACCCACTATATCTTCTTTGAATTGGGTTATCTGAGTCCTCACTGCCATATATCCCAGTTCAAAGCAGAAAATGTGGGATTTAATTAAGCTGTGTGGAAGGGGCCTTAGACACTTCTGAAAAAATATGTTTTCTTTAGGCATTCTCGAGCTTGATTTTCTGGTATGATTCCACTTAATGTTGACCATAGAGTTGAGTTAGAAATGCTATAGAAGTGTTTTCTCTAGACATTTTCTAGGTCTTTCAGCATGACTCAATGGTCAACTTCCTCTGGTTGTTCATTTCAACAGGGTTCACTACTGGAGATCGTACTGTATAGTAATTCAATTTTCTCCAGTTTGGTAGTCTCTAAATATGATGGACTACAGCCAGCGTAGCTATAAAAATATGTAACGTGCCATTGATTCTCAATGAAATCCATACAAAGTAGCTCAGTGCACTTTTTAAATTACGTATTTTTCTCTTTTTACAGGATAATTTCATTAAATCCTAAGATTTCTGGCTAGAAATGTCCATAAGTGGACTTCCAAAGAGGAGATAAGCTTCAATAACTCCACATATTTGTGTATCCAGTATCCTTGCCAGTCCTTTTACAGCTAAGGGAGTAAAATGACAAAGTGAGAAGAACATTCGTTTATTTTTTAATACTATTCATGTTTAATTCCATTTTAATGTTTGGGTATTTTTAGGTTTTAATTGTATTGTTTTGGTTTTACTGACTGAATGGGAAGAAGCCATAGTAGCAAGGCGGAAAGTGGTCTTCACAATCATCCTAATAATGAAGAAGTGAGAATTTGAATTCTGATGTTGTTCATCCTAGAAGGATTCCCTTTGCCTCCACACAATATAAATAATGGCTAGGTATAGATAAAGAGTTTCTCAAAGTACATATAATAAAGTTCCTCAGCAGCTCAACTGCAAACACAGAGCACCATCTGCATTGGGGTCTCCTAACTTCTCTTATGATGGGAGAAGATTCATGTGCTCTTAGGAATTTCTGTATTTAGCACACAGGGCATCTCAAAAGCCTCATAAATGAATATTGCAAGATCATCAAGTGAACAAAGCAGTCCACTAATTCAATGGCTATATATAGGGCAGAGCACCATAGCAGGACCATATTGTAATATTGTGACAGCAGGGATCCTAGGCTGTGCAGCACTCAGATACATGAACTATAGCCTTACCACATTTGCAAGCTGTGTAATTGCCAACTCAAAATATATTGTAACTGGATCAGACACATTTTCCACAGGTCTGATATGCTGGTTGTAACGGGTGAAGAGTTTATGAAACAGCCTTTCTTCAGATTTACATGCCAAACAACCTGCACAGGAAAAAAAATAATAAAAAAAGAATTGTCAGTGTAGACAAGGTAAGAAAATGGAATTTAAAAAAGATAAATATCCAAATGATTAGACAAATATAACAGATAGTTTTGAAAATCATGCTACAATGTAATTCTGTATGCTACATTAATGACTGGAGAGCCGTCAATTTATTCTTCAACTAGCTGTTCCCTACCACGCGTTGCTGTGGCCCAGTCTGTGTATATGTGTTTTGTGTATGTACATATATTTATGTGTGTGTATATGTGTATTTATGTGGTTACGTGCATGTGTTGTCATGTATTTTTTGTTTTTTGGCTTTTTAAGTCTCTTCCACTGCGTTTTTCCAGTGTTTTTATGAGTGATGGTCACTTGTTGGCCTGATAGGTGTCTTGTGTCCAAATTTGGTGTCAATTCGCCTAGTGGGTTTTGAGTTATGATAATCCCACAAACGAACATTACATTTTTATTTATATAGATAATATGATATTTAAACATAGTAGGGAACTCTCAGGCCCTATCTACACTGCCATATAATCCAGTTTCTTAACCTAGATTATCTGCTTTGAACTGGATTATATGGCAGTGTAGATCCAGCCTCAGTCAAGTTATTGGTTAGGGATTTATACATGGATCAATATCAAAGACTTTGTTGACTGAACTTTGTCCTGGGTCACCCATAGCTGTAGAGTGGGTCTCATATCATAATGATTTTGATGCTCTGCACATGTATGGGCTTTCTGCTCAGAAAGGTGGTTTGTAATCTGTTGCTGGTGGAAATACACTTCCCATAAAGGACCATAGCAGAACCTTTGTTAAATTTTGGCGACTAGAGTCTGGAGAACAAGCCCTATGAAGAGCGGCTTAAAGAGCTGGGCATGTTTAGCCTGAAGAAGAGAAGGCTGAGAGGAGATATGATATCCATGTATAAATATGTGAGAGGAAGCCACAGGGAGGAGGGAGCAAGCTTGGTTTCTGCTGCCCTGGAGACTAGGACACGGGACAATGGCTTCAAACTACAAGAAAGGAGATTCCATCTGAACATGAGGAAGAACTTCCTGACTGTGAGAGCTGTTCAGCAGTGGAACTCTCTGCCCCAAAGTGTGGTGGAGGTTCCTTCTTTGGAAGCTTTTAAACAGAGGTTGGATGGCCATCTGTCAGGGGTGCTTTGAATGCAATATTCCTGCTTCTAGGCAGGGGGTTGGACTGGATGGCCCATGAGGTCTCTTCCAACTCTATGATTCTATTTTTCTCTCTCATTCTGCTTGGCCAGTGGAATTCTGGGAGTTAGCATCCAACAACTAACTTCCCAAAATGCTGGATCAGAATCACAACCTGTTCATTATGCAGCCTTTCCATGGGATATGGAAGAGGCTTTAGTGGCAAATGACTGGCTTTGCCTTCCATCAGTTGCTGTTCCAGATGTGGACCCCCTTAGACAGAAACTGCCTAGCTCTGTTAAACTCACAGGCTTGAAACCATTATCCATGCTCTGTTAAACTCACAGCTTCTTTGATGAGCTGTACATTAGACTTCTTTAGAAACCTACCCAGAAACCGACTGTCACTTATCCAACTTGACTATCCATCTCCCTGTTTCTAGATCCCAAGAAAGTTATAATTTGGGGCTATAACTCCCAGAATCTCTCAACCAGCAGGACCAGTATTTATACTGGATAGACGGTTCTGAAAGATAATGTTCCAAAAGGTAATTTTTCCAAGTTCAGCTGCTAAGCACAACTCAAACATACTGACATTCATCTCGAAATCCATATATGCCTTGGGATATGTGTAATCGACATAGGTAAAATGGGCTGTTGTAGGTTTTTTGGGCTATATGTCCTTGTTCTAGAAGCATTCTCTCCTGATGTTTCACCTGCGTCTATGGCAAGCATCCTCAGAGGTTGTGAGACCTCATAACCTCTGAGAATGCTTGCCATAGATGTAGTTGAAATGTCAGGAGAGAATGCTTGTAGAATATGGCCATTTAGCCTGAAAAACCTACAACAACCCAGTGATTCCAGCCATGAAAGCCTTCGACAATATATGTCAGTCTGCCTTAGGAGATCTATGGAAGCCCTTCTTCACGTCTCCCTGCTCTTTTGTACGTGTGGCAACTCAGGCTGGATCTACACTGACATATAATCCAGATTATTAAAGCTGATCATCCAGATTATCTGATTTGAACTGGATAATATGAGTCTACATTGCCATATTATCCAGTTCCAAGCAGATAATCTGAATTGTGTATGGCAGTGTAGATGAGGCCTCACGTGACACCCTCCTTGCTGGCGGTTTTCTGTTTGTCTTGCTTGCTTGCTGACTTTTCCTGGTGTCAAAACTCTTACAACATTTGTTTTGCAATAAAAATGGGTTAAAAAAGAAGAAAGAAACCTTAATCTAGGAGTTCTCAAACTAAGGCCCGGGGGCCGGATACAGCCTTCCAAGGTCATTTACCTGGCCCTTGCTCAGGGTCAACCTAAGTCTGAAATGACTTGAAAGCACACAACAACAACAACAACAATCCTATCTCATCAGCCCAAAGCAGGCCCACATTTCTCATTGAAATGCTAATAAGTTTATATTTGTTAAAATTGTTCTTCATTTTAATTATTGTATTGTTTTAAGTGTTTTTTTTTTGCACTAGAAATAAGATATGTGTAATGTGCATAGGAATTCATTCATTTTTTTTCCAAATTACAATCCAGCCCTCCAACAGTTTGAGGGACTGTGACCTGGCCCTCTGTTTAAAAGGTTTGAGGACCCCTGCCTTAAACTGTCATGAAAAACTCTACTGTTTCAAGTTGCTCGGTTCTTTTGATTTGACAGATAGTTTCATTTACTCAGGGCCTTAATATGTGAAAAGTATCAGATCTTGTCTGATATCAGAAGTTAAAGCAGGATCAACCCTGGTTAGTACTTGGATGGGAGACAGGATATGTTGTCGGCTATATTTCAGAGGAAGGAACCGGCAAAACTACCTCTGAGGTTTCCTTGCTTAAAAAACAAACAAACCCTATAATATGCACAGGGTTGTCTGTTTGTAGGTGACTTGAAGTCCCATATATAGAATTCATTCATTTTCTGTCTATCTGAAGATCAGACACGAATGTCTTTGTTTATGTAGCCAAAATGATTCCAACCCCAAGTGGAATGGCTCAGTAGCCTGGGGGTGGGGATGTTTATAAGAGGAGGATGACCCCAAAATAACGCAATGACACCCATTTGTGCTTAGTAGACAGAATGCTGAGTATTGAGGTAAAATGATGGAGTTGGGGATGAGCACAGTATTGTGGGAAAGGGCATGGTTGGCTGACCGATGCATAATCACAGTGTACTTTTATGTTTTGTAATACTCCTCCCCTACCCCCCTTAATTGTTTTATATACGTATGTACTATCGTTTTGTTTGTTGTTCTACAAAAACAAACTTTTTCTCACTGTCTTCTTGTGAAAGGTCAAATTCATACATATATCATGGGGAAAGGGATGGGGAGCTAATAACATCTCAGCTATATTCCAACTTTTTGAGATTTTTTTCTTTAAAAAATCACACAGTAATTACTCTATCATTAGTGTGCATGCTCCAGGTGGCATTCAGATATCACATACATGGCTGAAGTGGGACAAAACAAACAAACAAACAAACAAACCATACATGTATTCATTGTACGTGTATTCACTTCCATCTACAACTGTATTTACATTGGCTTCTTCCATGTCAGTGGTTCTCAACCCGGGGGTCCCCAGGTGTATTGGCCTACAACTCCCAGAAATCCCAGTCAGTTTATCTGCTGGGAGTTGAAGGCCAAAACATCTGGGGACCCACAAGTTGAGAACTACTATTGGAAATAAATGCCAGGGTCCTAATTAAGTGGAATTAATTCTCTGTACATACAGTTCTGAAAAAGGTAGGGGAGGAACTCTTTGGGGCCTTGTAGTGCAGGAATGGTGAATATGTGGATGTCTAATTTTTGTTGGGCCAAACTTGTGGAAACACCGGCATTTTAGCTGCTAATGAATGATATTAGTTGCTCCAGTTCATTGACACCTGAAGAGCTACAGGATTCCTCATTCTTGTCACAATGCATAAGTGGCACTTAAATGCCCCTATAGTGCCATCCCCATGGTGGACTATAAATATTGATTTTCATGGTGTAAAAAGCTTTAGCTTCTGTTTTTTCCACTTCATTGCATTGATGAAGGCACAAAAGCAGACCAACAACAACAACTCTGTTCTTTTGTTTCTTTTTGTCAGTTGGAAATACAAGTAAGGAGAATAAATAGCTTTAGAAAAACTGCAGGAATCTCAAAGGGGAAAAGCTGGCGATGCTACGTCAGAGCCAGGCAGGGGCTGGCAATGACAATTGAGCCATTTCCTCCTTGTTAGAAGATTTTGACAATAACTGCCTGGCAAATATAAGCTACAGGTTGTTATGTTGCTGTTTGAACCAACTCTGCTCTTATAGTAAATTTCTGCAGGCAAAGTTTTGCTGCCCTCTGCTCCACCCTTGCTTTCAGCATGACAGTTCCTGCATGCTAAGAAAAAAAAGTTTGCCAGCTTAATTTTTGGAACATTAAAGTTTTGTTAGAGGCACAGGAGCAAGGCCGGTAAAATATTGCCAACCCCAGCTAAAAGAATTTCCTTTCAAATTTCAACCACAAATGGAGGGATGTTACAGTTTGCCTAAGAAAATCACGACAGTTTGTGAAGAGACTGGGGAAGTTTTTAAGTCTGTAGGTATTGCTTTCAGACCTTGCCATTGCTACAGCCAGTTGCTATGAAATAAGTTCCACCGAGTTTGGTAGAATTTACTCCCAAAAAGTGAGCAGAGGTTTGCCATCCTATGTGGGGAAGAGCCCTACATGACCATACCTTACAATCTAAAGTGACTTCATCAACTGAAATAACACATTCCATTTGATGATTTATTATAGGCTGGGCAACCACTTTCCCACAAGGTAAAGCTTTTCAATTAAATTGCAGCACGCCAAACAACCCCTGTGCTATTAAGTAGAAGAATCTCGCACTTTGCGGTGACAAAGAAAGCGGAATATTTGGGTCAGCTACCTAAACATCGTTCAGAATAATAAAAGCACACACAAATCTTATCTTTTAAGCCGGAGCCAAAAGGATTAAGCAGACAATATTACAAGTGTCGAAAGAGATAGATGGGATTGCCGAAGGGGCTGCAGAGACACAATAATTAAATGAATTAAAGGAACTTACCTTGACGGAAGAAGAGGGATATATTAGCCCATAAGTAGAGAGTGAAGTAAAGCACACCCAACCATTTCTGCGAAAGCATCCTCAAGAGCCAAGCGTGACGCTCTCCTCTCCTTCAAGAGAGCAAAGAAATGTGCTTTGAAACCAAACAAAAGACTGGGAGGTGAAGAATGAGACCCCTGGATTGCCGGTGCTGCTGCAGTGACTATTTCGGTTTCCCATCCAGAGCTGCAGCTAGCTACCCCCAGTTGATGGCTTTAAATAATGTAGCCGCCTTTTGAACAAGAAGATGAAGCAATCTTTCAGAGACGAAAGATTTTTACCGTCTGCAAGTTAAGAGGAGGCAAAACAGACCAATGTCAGGAGGCTCCTCACATTTCACAAGTGTGTGTGCGGAGGGGGGCATATGTGAACAAGGGAGCGAGGAACACTGCACAGCAGAGAGGGCTGGATAGCACAAGAGCACATCCCAGGTCCTCCTGAGAGGCTTGTGTGCAGCACTGCAGTATTACTTTGAGGATTTCCAAATCTTCTGCTTTTTACTTTTTTCTGTAGAGACACTGCAGGGTGCAAGTGGGCATCTTTGACTTCTGCCCCCATATCCAAAGCTAGGCAGAAGAAATTAGTGATGAAGAAATAACCCTAGTAAGGAGAAGGAGTCCACTTCATGGTTGCATTTTTTGTCTTTAAAAACAACACCTTTGTTTAGTGCGTCTATTTTTCATTTGTGTTTACCTGCTTGTCTTCATGATCCAATTACCACATGACTGAACTTTGAGCTGGTGCCCACCAATAAGGTCATTATTCAATGGCTATCTTGAGAACTGACTTATGACCTCATGAAATGCAGGCTTCTCTACATCTTCTCCCCATTTCTCTACACTGATGAAACAGAGTCCATCACATGATGCAAGGCAATGTCCAATGGGACTCTGTGGGGCTCTATTTTGGCATCATAGAGAAACTGAGCCCAGCGTGTCTTTTGATTGGAGAATGCAAAAAGGAAGTGGGAAAAGGATGGGAAACCATGTGGGATAGGAGGCCATCCCAGAAGATGGAGAAAGATGGCCGGGAATGAAAGAGGACAGTTCCCTCTTCTTTCCCCCTGCCCATCTGATGACGTCCATAGTGTAATACATGGTGGACAATCTGTAGCCATTAAGGTATATGCTGAAAAATGTTTCCACCCAAGCATTCCCTTTAACCTCCTTCATTGATATGCTACTAAAGCAAATATATTTTGTAGAACTTTTCCCATTTTTAAAAACCACTCATTGTTGAGATGTATCTAAGCAAACACACTAAATAACTTTCATGTGTTTTGTCCATAATAATAATAATAATAATAATAATAATAATAATAATAATAACTGTATTTTTATACCCCGCCAACCATCTGCCCAAGGGGACTCAGGGCGGCTTACAAGAGACAAGCCCAACAATTACAACTAGAACACAACCAATTAAAAACATCAGATAAAATATAAAAACAATCACAATTGTAAACAACATCAAAACAATATGGCTGGGAAAAAAGAACATAGCTGAGGTACAGACTCAATGAGTGCAATACATCCTGAAGGGAGTGCAAGGAAAGTGCAACAATCAAGTGACTTTTCTGTCTCTTGCTCCAACATAGAATCATAGACTTGGAAGAGACCACCTGGGCCATCCAATCCAACCTCCTGCCATGCAGGAAAAGCACAATCAAAGCACTCCCAACCATGGAAGCCATGAAAGCAAGTTTGTCCTCTCCTGCTCCAGAAAGGGGGGGGGGGAGGGGTAAGCATCATATTACCTTATCATTTAGACTTGTTGCAATAAAACATAAATCACATCATTTATCACATGGTGTTGTTTCTTGCCTTTTCTCCCAATTTCWGATTTGCCACACGAGTGAGTGCATTTAAGGCAGACCCCGTGGGCTCTTCTGCTCTCCCTCCCAACGAGGTTTTCCTGGATAATTAACTATTTTTTAAAAAAGGAAAGAAAATGCAAGAAAAAGCACAATATCGAAAGATTAGAATCAAGCAAAAGCAAAGTCGCAATCTCCTGAAGTAGAGCAATTTATACTAAATGCATTGAATTTTTTAAAATACCATGTAATAATCAGGTGGCTGGATTTTGGAAGATTGCTGGGGCATTTTTGATTTGTAGGATGCTACCTGTAGGAATACCCATTCCCCCATGTTCCCCCATGTCACCAAACAATTTAATGCAGACAAATCAGACAGCTCAGAAAATGCGGACAAATCTGATAGCTCTGCCCTTCTCCTCTTCCCCATGTTTCTTCCCACTTTTAAAACACTCTCTGTGTCATTTGATGAGTTACATTGTACTTTGTTTCCTTAATGTTTTTGAAGTGTTTAGAAATAGGTGGGGGGGTTGTGTGGATAATGCCTAGTTCAGATACGACATCTTCTAGAACTTTGGTCAACTGTCATGGAGGTGCCCTGGTGCCATCATCACCAGGGCACCTCCATTTTAAGAAACAATGCTTTAGTCTGTTGCCTTTCCAGAAATTACATAGAAATAAATATGCTGTAACAGAAGGAGGGCTTAATTTTTTGGTCTACAACCACCAGTTTCCTAATCTACAACAGCATGGCAGTGATGGCTGGGGAATTCTATGAGCTATAGGTAGACCAACTTTAGGCCATAAGTTTAAGGAAGGTTTAGAAGTGGCAAATTTAGCACTTTTTTTAGCAGCACTGTTCCACTCCAGCAAATGTTCATGGAATTGCTAATATTAAACAAAACAATTAATTTACATTATATCTAATATACAGGTCACTCTATAGAATGAAAAATTACAAATCCCCCCCCCCCCCGGGCAAGGGAAGTGTGTACATAGAACTATTACACCATCTTTATTTGCAGTTCTATTCATCCTATGTCTCTTTTAACCAAGAGTATGAGCTACTGACCTCAGTGAGAGTCACTTCTTACCCTAGGATTAAATAAAGGTGTAGTACTTTGAGACTGCAGTTTGAAACTCTCTTACTCCAAAGCAAGTTGTACTGACTTCAAGAGGATCTTTGACTGCAGGCCTAAACTTCTACATGTTCAACTCTAAAGTGCAAACTCCCACTGAAAAGAATGGACTAGCTGTACCAGAAGTCGATTTCTTATTGGCCATCTCATTCATTTCAACTTTCCCTAGACAAATGTTTAGTCCCTTTCAAAAATGCCCATCTTGCTGGAGGCTCCATTGTATGGGAGATGAAGCCACTGAACCTGAGCAAAATCCATTTCCAGAACCACAACCCACATAATTCTACACATAGCATGGGATTCTGAAAGCCAATGTGCAAAAAAGTAACTTTTCCAAGCCCGCTTTGAGGGGAAGTAATAGGTGCACCTTCTCCCCCACAAAAAGTGGAATGAAGCAAGGGCAACCTAGAAAGCATCATGGCAGGGCTCATTCTTCTCTGCACTTTTTAAACTCACCAGCCCAGCAAAGCCTTGGCTGCAGGTCTCTTAGTTAGCATTGCTTCTCAACCCAAAGTGATGAATGCAGAAGCCAGGTAGAGACCAGAGGAAGGGGCAGGCCAGAAACCTATATGATAAATTCACCTTAGAATCACCATAAATCAGAAACAACAACATTGACAATAATGGACTCCTCTTAGAAAAAGGCACTGAAATGCAAGTTTCAAAATAATGAGATGGAAACTGAAATAACCTCCTATATGTATCTATCTATCTATCTATCTATCTATCTATCTATCTATCTATCTCTATCTATCTATCTATCTATCTATCTATCTATCTATCTATCTATCTATCTATCTATCTATCTATCTATCTATCTATCTATCCCTGGTCCATTTTTGCTTTTGTTGATTTATAAAAAACAGGTTAAGAACTTCTTTAATTGTAAACCGCCCTGAATCTCTTTTGGGAGATGGTGGCTGGATATAAATAAAGATCATGATGATGATTTGAAACACAACAAGATGAGTCCACAGCAGACACTCTGCTGGCTGTTGAATTGGATCACACATCGGAGACTTCCCAAATGTCTAGAACTGTGTGATGTATCGGCGAATAATGCGTGCAGATCCCAGTAAGTTGGCCTTCTGCAGCTGGCAGATGGTAATTTTGTCAGCGCCGATTGTATTTATGTGCAAGCCAAGGTCTTTAGGCACCTCACCCAGTGTGCCAATCACCACTGGGACCACCTTTACTGGTTTGTGCCAGAGTCTTTGCAGTTCGATTTTTAAATCCTCATATCATCATCATCATCATCATCATCATCATCATCATCATCATCATCATCATCATCGAAGTTCTGCTTCTGAACCCACAATCAGATTATCCTTGGGGAGATTTTTTTTCCTCGTCACTCAACTCAGGGTATAGAACAAAACAGATTGTGAAAAATATGACTTTTAAAGACTACACCCCTTAGAATCTCCCAATTAGGCCAGCCAAATAGCCCCTTAAAGAACTTTTCCAAGCTCTGTTTGAGAGTGCAAGTGAGAGCTTTAAATTGCAGGACAGGTTCTGCCGGGTAATTTGTGAAGAACAGCCAACAGATTATATGGCTGGGCTGCATGGCTTTAAAACAAGTCTGGAAAGTAGTACACAGCTGTCACATTCTTGCATGCACAATTGTTATTACACTAATCCATAATCAGAATGACCAAAGCAGCCTTCTGCTGGGCCTTATGTAAGCAAGGAGCAGCTGGGGCACTAACCTTTGATAGCCGAGGGTTACAGAAAAGCAAACAAACAGGCAAATCGGAGCCAACTCTGCATAATTGATAAAATACAGAGTCTGGGCAATTCAAACATTAATTACCACCTATGCCAGTGTAGTTCTCTTCTTGGGTATCTCAAATCCCAAATTGGCTATGTTCCTTTAAGATGGCATTTACAAACTGCTCCTTTCCTTTTCATCTTTGCCACAATCCTAGGAAGCAAGATTGCTACTTGCCAAAGACAATACATGGATGATTAACAATTGGAACTCCACATTTTTCTTCCTCCAGTTTCAATATCCCACTCAGCATGCCACATCCTAAACACTACAGAACAGAGAATAATGACTTGGTTTTAATTGTGGATGGAAAGTATAATTTTGTGACTTGGTTGTTTTATTCCCATGGATCACATGCCAATGGAGTGGAAATGTACTGTATACTCTCCATTCAATGATGGCAGATGGTGGCTCCAGTATCAGTATGGCAGTAAATGCTCTGCAGAATTAAAGGAGCTGTCCAAGGTATGAAACCTTATTGTAAAAATATGTTAAGCACTTGGACAACTCCTTTAAAATTTGGAATTAAACCTAGAGAGAATTCTTTGGCACAATGCTGCCAAAAAACACTGTAATTTGATCCACATTGCTAGCCATAGATACATTTCATTKATTATTTATTTAAWTTTTTTATATCCTRATCTTCTCTAACCTCCGTAGAGGGACTCAGACCGGCTCACAGCAAGGATTCAATGCTAATAATACAGTCTAAAAATATCATACAATAASAACAAGTTAAAATACATATAGATTAAAATTACAAATAAGCCAAATTGCCAAGATACAATCATGTTCAAYTTAGTCYRTACGTGTGGTYGATWACTTTGTTCTGTAGCCGGTCTCAACCATTACTCTGGGAATGCTTCCTTCCATAGCCAGGATTTTACTAGCCTCCTGAAGGACAGGAGGGAAGGGGCAGATCTGATCTCAATCGGGAGAGAGTTCCATAGCCGAGGGGCCACCACAGAAAAGGCCCTGTCTCTTGTTCCCGCCAGACGCAATTGCAAAAGTGGCGGGACTGAGAGCACGGCCCCACCAGGAGATCTTAATAGTCTTGATGGTTCATAGGGGAGAATACGGTTGTTTTCAAATCCTCAAACAACTCTTCTGGT